AACTCCGATTGCCAATTCAGAGCCGTTATCCATTACGCCACCGACACATTCAAGATTGCGGCGTCTGGTATTCCCAAGTGGTCACACGTCTAGGTACTGAATATATTCGACTTTGCTTGAATTCGGTGATCATTTGGAAATAGGCGTTTCAATTTAATAAGACCGTAAAATAATATTAGTAGATAATATCAAAATACTATATAGAATCCAATGCGCGGAAAGACGCACCACCTAAAGGATATGTAGACGCATTTGACCTGCAAACGGAGGATTTAGCAGCTCCAGGCCAGATAAGGCAGGAATCATCCATTTTTGCTCTGCTCTGATTATTGTTCAGCATTTGATGAAGCGAGAAAGTCTGAAATAAAAGAGTGAATTGGGCAGTCTGAACAAGACCATTATGCTCAAATCCTCGGACATAAAGAAGAAGAAGACCATTATGCTCAAATCCTCGGACACGAAGAAGAAGAAGACCATTATGCTCAAATCCTCGGACACGAAGAAGACTAAGAACATTATGCTCAAATCTTCGGAGATGAAGAAGAATAAGACCCTTACGCTCATCAAATCCTCGGACACGAAGACGAACAAAACCATTATGCCCAAATCGACACGAAGAAGAACCAGACCATTATGCTCAATTCTTCGGACACGAGGAACAACAAAACCATTATGCTCAAATCCTCGGACACGAAGAAGAATATTTCCATTGAAATACATCGTGAAAGAAAACATATATTACGAAGTTTTTGCGAATTGAGTTAAAGATATCTGGAGATATTTTACTGATTCAAACTTAAAGAGGAAATCTGTTAGGAACATAAAAAAAAATATCATTGCTTTGCTTAAAAGTTAGAAGAGGTGGCAACTAATGTTTTGCTGCATCTTAATATGTTACTAAAAATACCTCTGAAAAGTTCACGGTTTTCTTATTTGAAATTTCTGATGAATCTTAATAACTCAGTTAATGAATGAATTATCTCATGGCGTATTCTACGAGAATAAAATATTCGTAGAAACTCCTTTATCACATAGTTGAAATATTTGAGCTTAACAACTTTAACAAAATATTTGGTTATTTTTTTCAAATGAAAAGATTTGAAAATGACAACTTTTTAAATTTCATTGAAATAATCGTTAATCACTTCTATCTTCTCTTCCTCCTTTCTTTTTTCTTTCTTTCTTTCTTTATTTTCTTTATATTTTTCTTTCTTTTATTCATTTTCTCAGTGAAACAATGTAGCGTATGTCTTTTGCTTTTCTACTCTGTAAAAATGGAACAGTCCATTTTTTATGAGGTATTGTCAGCATACGTTAAACACTTCTATATTCCCTTCTTTCTTTCTTTCTTTCTTTCCTCATATCTTTCTTTCATTTATTCCATCAATAAAACCACGTGACTTTTGCTTTTCTGTGCTCTCAAAACGGAATAGACTGTTATTTATGATGTATTGTCAGGAGACGTTAGACAATTCTATCTTCCTTCTTTGCTTTCCCATTTGTTCTCAATGAAACCAAATAGTGACTTCCCCCCCTCTTTCCACGCGATCAAAAATGAATAGTCCATTATTTATCAGGCTCTGGCAGGGTGTAACGGACGTGCAAACTAACGAAGAGAGGGATAAGCACAATTACAATAGGATTATAAAAGTTCTTTTAATTATATTAATAGATTTATTAATGTTATTTTTTTTTACAATGAAGAGGAAGTTATGGAGAACCATGACCGCCTAATGTCTTGAATAGATATGTCACATAGAAGACGAATAAGAAGTAATTTACGTTCCGGACCTCCCTCATATCTGAGTCAAGCAAAGCAATGCAAAAAAAAAAAAAGACAGAAAAAGACAAAAAAACGTGACAAAGAAGATCCCCAAGAGAATCTCTCGAAATTTCTCAAATCTCACAAAAAGATAAATTTCCTTGAAAGCAAAGATAAGCAATTGATATCCTGATTTATTTACATTTACTTATATTGTACATAACGATTTCCAAAGCGTGGATTAGTCTGGAACACAGCCATAAATTATTTTGGGTGTATCGAAAACACGGCACAAGGGAATTAGTCCGTAAGATTAATCTGATCACCATCATGCTGCGGTAGGTCACAGAAGTAATGATCGTTTGTACAAATCATAGCTATGCCTGGTACAGGGCAACAAATACTGGGCATATCATATTACGAGAGTACTTCGTTACGACTCCATAATAAGTTCATCTTATTGTCACTATCAACGACAAAAGCCGGTTCGGTAGCTGGGAAACAGGCGGAGGAAATTTTACCAAGAAAGTCAGTATTTAAATATTTGTTCCTTAAGAAGACAGTATGCATGGTTACTAGCAAAAGGGGACATCCTAAAACTCAAATTACAAATCGGGGATGCCAAAATCAACCAAGCACAAAAATTCAAATATCTGGGGTATCTTCTAAAAGAAAACGGAAAAAGCGGTACTTAAATCCGAAGATGCGTTGGGATAGCCAAAGATGCATTCCAAAAGCTAAGCAGAGTATTAAGATACAGGAAAATTTCGTTACAAACAGAGAAAAGTGTACTGAAATGTTACGGGATATCATGCCTCTTATATGGCAGTGAATGCTGAAAAATTTACTCAAAGATGGAGAAGAGACTTGAAGCAACAGAAATATGGTTCTACAGAAAGATGCTGAGGATACCATGTATCGAACATGTGAGCAACGACGAGGTTTTAGAAAAAAAGCAAACGAACAGGAAACTAATACTTAACATCCGGAAGAGAGAGTTGAAATTTCTGGGGTACATAATGAGGAAGGAAGACTTGGAAAATCTGATGCAGACAGGAAAGATTGCAGGCAAGAAGGACAGAGGAAAACAACGGATACCATACTTGATGGGCTGAGATAGATAGATAGATAGATAGATAGATAGATAGATAGATAGATAGATAATGAACAGACCGAGATAGATAGTTATGAACAGACTGAGATAGATAGATAGATAGATAGATAGATAGATAGATAGATAGATAGATAGATAGATAGATAGATATGAATAGACTGAGATAGATAGATAGATAGATAGATAGATATGAACAGACCGAGATAGATAGATATGAATAGACTGAGATAGATAGATAGATAGATAGATAGATAGATAGATAGATAATGAACAGACCGAGATAGATAGTTATGAATAGACTGAAATAGATAGATAGATAGATAGATAGATAGATAGATAGATAGATAGATAATGAACAGACCGAGATAGATAGTTATGAACAGACTGAGATAGATAGATAGATAGATAGATAGATAGATAGATAGATAGATAGATAGATAGATATGAATAGACTGAGATAGATAGATAGATAGATAGATAGATAGATAGATATGAACAGACCGAGATAGATAGATATGAATAGACTGAGATAGATAGATAGATAGATAGATAGATAATGAACAGATAGATAGATAGTTATGAATAGACTGAAATAGATAGATAGATAGATAGATAGATAGATAGATATGAACAGACTGAGATAGATAGATAGATAGATAGATAGATAGATAGATAGATAGATAGATAGATAGATATGAACAGACTGAGATAGATAGTTATGAACAGACTGAGATAGATAGATAGATAGATAGATAGATAGATAGATAGATAGATAGATAGATATGAACAGACCGAGATAGATAGATATGAATAGACTGAGATAGATAGATAGATAGATAGATAGATAGATAGATAGATAGATAGATGGCGGAAGATGGTTTAGTAGAAATAACGAAAAGACAGAATTTATTCATAGCTACAATGAACATGAAATTATGAAGAGCCATGATCGCCTACATCATAAGGGGGCATGACACGTCAAGAAGAAGATGTTAATGGGTTCGAGCAATATCATATGGCCTAATAGATCACGAGTTAAGATTGAGGGTCCATTTTGGGCATCTGGCCAGTTACTTGCTGGTGACCATCATTCTTCTGTTAACATGCAACAGGATATATTTGAAAAGTGGGAACCAGCAGCAGGGAGCCCCAAAAATAGATCCCTAGGGAAAGTGGGATTCATGGCTTACCCAGGTGAATTAAGGCGAATTTAATATAAAACATTGAACGTTAGAAAAACGACTGGCATAGATAGTATTGTGAGACCGTAACTGCCTACACAACAGACTCTTCCAGGTCTATATTAAGTATGCGACACAACACTCTACTCTGAGAGACAGAGTGACAGAGAGAGACATAGAGAGACAGTGACAGCCGCGTACAGCTACCAGTATTGGACACTAACATATAGTAAGCTCCGCTTACACTATCTCTGTAACCTGTTGTTAATATATCTTTCTTACATCTAATCCGTGTTCCGTGTTTTCCTTCTGTGGTCCCAACTTTGGCCCCACATCAGATAGATAGATAGATAGATAGATAGATAGATAATGAACATTCTGTAATAGATAGATAGATAGATAGATAGATAGATAGATAGATAGATAGATAGATACGAACAGACTGAAATATGAACAGACTCTGATATGAACGGACTGAGATAGATAGATAAATAGATAGATAATGAACCTTCTGTAATAGATAGATAGATAGATAGATAGATAGATAGATAGATAGATAGATATGGACGGACTTTATCGCCTTTATTGTCATTGTGTATGTTAAGTGTTTAAAATAGGGGTACACGCTCGAGTGTTATCTTTTGGTGTTTTTGAGGTGAAAGGCTAAAGTTTAATCTGTCAGGATGGCTAAAGTTAAATGATTCTGGTGATAAAAAGGAAACACGAAGATGTTGGGGTCGGGGACGGGTTGCTTGGAATGATGAAAATGTTAACCGGAAAGAGAGGAAGAGAACAATAAAGAGAGAGTGAAGGAGTGCAAACGAGTGAGAATGAAAAAGCAAGGAAAGAGAAAGTGGGAGAAAGAGAGAGGGAGAAAGAGAGAGGGAGAAAGAGAGAGGGTGAATCCATTGAGAATTCCAAGAACTGAGGCAAGGAGAAAAAAATTAAAAAAAAAAAAATAAATAGAGAAAGGACAAATAGAAAAATGTCTTTCAACACTTTAGATAAATAAATTCCTCGTGAACGGAGTCAAGTTTTCAAAGGTAAAACAGCTTTAACATCCTCCGTACTTCAAATTTAACCAAAGATGATAGCAACGTTTTAGATGGGTCGGGATAATGGAAATGAATAAATATTGATTTTTTTTAATCATTTCATCCCCCAAGCAAGGCAATAAAGCCGCTAAGACACAAGGGGTTACTGGGTGTTAAAGAATATGACAAGAAAACTATGAAGGAGAGAAAACACTAAACGAACAAGAATTAAGAAGACAAGATAACAATGACATTGCATTTACATTTTTGAAAATCAAGGTCAACTGGAAAGCAAGAAGCCGGGAGAGAGTTCCACAAGCGAGGAGTGCAATAGAAGAAACTGTTAGCATAGAACTTGCGGTTCTATCTAGTCATTTCCGCTATAAAATGGTGAAACCTTCCTGCCAATAATGTGCTTAAAGCTTAGAATCTCGGTTATCATAGAGGAAAATTCACCAGAACAGTTAAGATGAAAGTATTTCTAGAAAAGACACAGGAGAGCTACGTTACGGCGGTGACTGAAAGTGACTGAAGCCGAAATGCCAGCTCAGGACCAATAACATTGCCGATTCTTCTTTGGATTTTATCAAGAATGTCTAAATATATAGCAGGAGAGCCATCAGTGAAACAAAGTGAAAAGGAGTGGCATATCACAAAATGTCCTTTCCTAGGGATTATATTAGATGTGTCAGCCTATTGACGTGGTATAGAATTCGATCAGACTAGAAATCAATATTGTTGCTTCGGCATTTTCTTTAGTAAGACTTTTGATGTCTAGGTCGGTCGACATTAATCTCACTGTTTAAAAAAACCCAGGATTATTTACACTATTTTCATACGGACTGTCGTCCACATCTTTGTTGTTGATATCGCTACGTTTTGGCCGATGTGCCCCTGCGGCCTTCTGCTACTGTTTGTCATACTTGTCTGAACTTACTGAAGTTTTTCATTTTTGTTACAGCTGCTGCTGTTGAAGACTTGCTATAATTTGTCTTTCTTTATTAACGCCTCCTTTATCGTACTTATTTCTATGCTAGGCCTACTAAGGGGGTCCCATAGCCTAGCCTATGCGCTGATTCGTTCTAAAGAGTTCAGTTTGGAATTCGATGTAGATTATCCGAATCGACATACACCTGATGAAGACCGGAGGGTATAATGACCGAAATGTTGTGATAGCAACAACAAAGATAAGGACAATAGTCCTAATATAAATAGTGTAAATAATGATAACTGCTCATTCCTGAAGTTCTGACAGAAAATACAAGATTCTCTACTCAAACGCACTAAATATAATTGTTATAGTAATAAGTAGTTTTAAACAATTAATATTCATTTTTGCCGTTCTTTGATTTCTGTTTTTACGTTTTCGTTTAAAAAAAATATGTATTTCTTAACTTATGTAGCAATATCAGTGTCAGCTGATAACTTATTAGGGGGAAAACAGTCGACTTGTTACAAAAATGGAGCTGGACATGTATTTTCCCGATAGCTATTGGCTGGGTGAAGTGGACTTCACAAGTATATGCTGAGCGGCTCGGACAAAGAAGTCACTGAATGAAGATAAATTACTTTTTCAAAGATGACAAGGCAAAGAACGATGTTCTCTATAAGACACTGGCTATTGCCCGCGAAAGGCCAGAGAGACGATGAGGGCCGACGTTGATCGACGTGAAAGAGAACACGCCCGTTAGACTGTTCACACACCCCACACACTCACTTACGCCTCATGCCGGTTTCACTTATTTATAGTAATAGGTTACAACCCGAGAAAAAAAATCTGCTTACTGCTGCAAGCTCTAATGGTCTTAATTCGTAGGTGATGATCTAGCCAAAGAGTTATTTTTAATCCACATACGTTTGAATGGAAGAAGCTGCACCCTGACAACGAAACTGGTGTCTGGTCTGCACTGCAACACTAGACATTCTTAACATAAGATAATTGGGTATTGCTTTGCTGTGATTGTTTCCTGTAGCTTAATGGTAAATTTAGACTTAGCTTGGAAGAGATTTCAAGATTAAAAAATGAAAAAAGGGTTTGTTACCTGCCGGGAAGCACGTTTTATTTAGCAAAACTTACATTTTCTCAGTCGGTAGATATTCATTTCACTGTTAATTGTTGGTTGGGTAATTTGTTTTCTACGGTTTATCAACCCTTTGCAGGTTATTTAAAGCCAGAAAATATTTTCTTAGATTATAAGAATTTTAATTCCATTTTTTTAGGGCTGTGATAATAATTGTTTAGTGATACAAGTCTTACTAATTAACCCATAGCTGGAGAGGAGAAAAGATGGATTCATGCCTTTCCTAGGGGAAATATGACGAACCCAATGGGAATTGGAACTCGTCTCTCAAATTAACAATTCCGAGCCATTATCAATTAAACCATCCAAGATTACAGCATCTGGTATTCCCAAGCGGTCACCCATATAGGTACTAACCAGGTACCACGTTTCTTAACTTCGGTGATCGTACAGAGATCGGTGTTTTGAACGTGATGTTTATAGTAATAAGAAATAATATGTGAGAAATAATATATGTGAGTTCGATCCTCACTGGGTGCACCATACATTCAGCCTTGTACCACGCCTAAGCTATGCTTAAAAACAATTTTCGGGTACTTTAATGTGGCGTAATGGTTAGCCGTGTGTCTCGCTAGATCAATTACGACTCAATAGTACCTTCTTAGATTCACACTTGGTGCTCCACACATTTGTCCGTGTGCCACATCTAAGCTACGCTTACAAAATCAATTTAGAGCACTCGGGTGGTTTCTTTCTCAGAACTGTGTAACAGACTCCCGAGAGAGTGCTTTCCTAACCTCTACAATGTTAATTTCTTCATGTCTAGAGCCAAACGTTATCTATCCTACTCATCTTTCACTTCCTGCTTCCCCACTTCCCTCCCCTTTAGAACGACCTCATTCAATAACCCTCTACCTCGAATGTCACTTGCGCCCTGTATAAGTTAAACAAACGTTAAAGAAAAGACTTCAAGGGGAACTCGTATAATCGTACCATCGCTACAGATGCTGGAAAAATGGTCAGTTCCTTGCAACTCCCCCGGACGTACCAGACTCCTCCTGCCATGCTCTATCTTTACAAGGGTCAGATTAGACCAAGAATGGAGTATTCCTGTTATATGTGGGTTGGTGCTGCCCAGTCCACACTGTAAAGCCTTGATGTAGTTTAAAAGCGATCACGTGGCCTATTTTCTATCCCTCAACCCTTTCCCGCAGGTGAAGTATTGCTGGCCGATCACTAATATGTCGCTAATACCCTGGAATATATCCAAACTAGATACATTCCTTAGGTCCACCAGTTCATAACTTCAGATCACGAACCCGCCATGCTATGTACAGTGCGTCAAATTATTCCATTGATAACGAAGAAGTTCTACTTACACAGCTTCTTCCTAATAACAGACTCCCGAGAGGGTGCTTCCCGGATCACTACAACCTTAAATTTTAGGGTCAACCGATATCTATCCTGCATATCGTCATAATAAGCACCTCTACCTTCTTCCACGCCGTCACAAAAATCTCATTCAGTAAACCGCTACCTTGAGTGGCTCTTGAGTGCGACGCATATTTGTATAAACTATACGTTTTCAAAATTGTTTTCTTAAATTTTTTTAATCATTTCACCCCAAGCAAGGCAATAAAGCAATTGGTTACTGAGTGTGAAAGAATATGAGTAAAAGGAGATATTATTAAGGAGAGACAACAATAAAAGAAGAGGAATTAAGGAGACAGAAGGTAACGATTGACGTCGCATTTAAATTAAAAGTATAATAGAAGAACCTGTTAAAATAAAACTTATGGTTACACCTCGCAATTTCAATTGTACAATTATGAGACCTAGTTGCCAATCTAGTACTGCGCTTAAATTCATAAAGTCGAGGTACCTAAGAGGAAAGCTCATCAAAGCAATTACCATGAAAATATTTATAGAAAAGGCACAGTGAGTAAATGTATTTCGGTCAATATTTTGAGGCATGGATTTAAAACAATTAATTTGAAATCCAGCTGATGTCAAGAATGAAAATGATGCACTATGAAAGATTTTCTTGCTTTGAAATAGATATACTTGAATATTGACTGGCTCGGGTTTAGCCGGAAAACCCCGAACACGCCACTGTTACACACACACACACACAGAGAGAGAGAGAGAGAGCGATGGACAAATTGTCGTCTCAATTATACTCAAATGAAGATAACACTGACATCTCATTTTAACAGATATATTTACCAAAAATTACACAAAAATATCTTGAAATACTACGGAGTAAATTTATTCAATAAAATCGCCATTGGCTTCAACCATGACATTTTGACGACTTCCGAATCTCCTGCATCTCTTCTGGGCGGTCTCCTTGTTTAATTTGGTGAATACTGCTATGAATCTTGCCTTCAGTTCATCTTTTGTGTTGCTAGAAGTTTTTTGGTCACTCGCTCTACTGTACCCCACACATAATAATCAAGGGGGCTTGTAGTCGGAGGAGTTAAGTGGCCAGATGTAAGGGGTGATGTGGTCGCAGAAATTTTCTGACAGCCATGACTGGGTTCTCCTGCTTGTGTGGCATGGTGCAGAATCCTGTTGCCAGACATAAGGTCTTGACCCAGGGCAGCATCTCAATGCAATTGATGCTGATCTCTGTGTTGATTCTGTGGCCCTGTGGGAAGATGAATGGAGGTATAACGTCGCCATCATTAATGATCACTCCAAACACCTTCGTAATCACCATTAGACTCATCCAACTCTTTCCGAACCCTCTGCACTGTCTTCAGATTGACACCCAAACACTCGTATTGGACCGTCCTTCGCGACTGTGAAGTAGTACTTCATGCCGTTTCCAAATTTCTGATGGAATGAATTGCGTCATGGTGATCTTTTTTTTCTCACAGACGGTGCCCAACTGACCCTACTATACAGTGCAGCCGACAAAATCATAAGAAACCCACGCGCATGCGCGAAATTAAAAATATAAAATGGCGACAATTTACTCATCGTACCCTGTATATTTTGGTCAGCTTATGAGCATTTCAGCGGATATTTGTATGGCCATTTTTATAGACAATTCCTAAATCTTGCTATCGAAGATTCAAAGAAGGGACATAAAATGTCCGCCATGCGCTGGGAATTATTCAAAACATTTATATCATTCTGGAAACTCGTCCCAAACGATATTCACTCTTTGAAAGCCTCACGTTAGAGAGCGGGAAAAAACGTCACGGACACTTAATTCTCAAAGCGTAACAAGGTGTTCGTGTAGATATGTAAAAAATAAAAGCTGCGGTCGGGAAACTGCCACATATCGTAAAGGCATTGCTTGACTTCACTAATGATCAAGACGTTCAAACCTAGAAAGGCAATAAGCGCATTCTCTTAATGCGACGTACGATTTCGATTTTATGGGTGAAATTTGTTGCACTTAAAATAATACTGTCAAACAGAAACAACCTCAGCAAACAAATGCAGGGAAATACTGTAGACACATTCTAACAGCTAGTGCAAACAAAGAAAATCTTACTTGCATTTTTCATGCTGTAGACGTAATTATACGTCCGACAGAACAGCTGTTGGTGTATATTTCCGCTTTCGAGACACTGTGAAATGATTAATCTCTAGTTTCAGCTATGAACTAACACTTGATGATATTTTCAACAAATCACACACACACACACACACACACACACACACACACACACACATATATAAATAATAGATAGATATATTTATATATATACATATTTATATTTATATACACACATATATTTATATATATATATTTATTTTTTAAATATATTTATATATATATATATAGATAGATATAGATATATTTATATATATACATATTTATATTTATATACACACACATATATATTTATATATATTTATATATATATATATATATATGATATATATATATTTTTTCATTAAAACTTAGGTACTACGGTTAAGCTTTTTATTTAATTTTTTGTGTTGTGACACAGGGTGTGTTATACCTTTAGCCATTATCAAAGATGATACGATTTTTATATTATGTGTATATATTAGTGTGTTGTAGGGATGCAGTTAATATATTTGTGTTTTCTACACAATTTTACCAAACTCCATTAGAAACATATTAGTAGAAAACACAAATATATTAACTGCATCCACCTGCAAAAAAAGATTGAAAATTATGGAAGCTTTAATAATAAAAAAGAAAAAGCCAACTCTTAACAATATTAACTACGAACAAGTCCACAATGTGCTAACCGTATTCGGAAATTAAAAACATCCCTACCACACACTAACACATAGACATAATGCACACAATTAAGCTGGAAATCGAATCATCTTTGATAATGGCTAAAGTTATAGCCAAAAGCGCTCAGAAATATAAAACATTTGGACAGTTTTTACACACCCTTTGTCCAGAAAAGAACGCTCTTGTTCGAACACATGAAAAATTAAATAAAAAGCTTAACCGTAGTACCTTGTCTGTCATTTTTAATGAAACATGCATAAACGAAGGATTACTGCCTAAATATACAACTATATATATATATATATATATATATATATATATATATATATATATTAGTTTCATAAAACCATTTAAGACAAATATATACGACCCCTCTCCTGACCCCTGTCTCCTGAATTTCGTTTGACATGAACATTGAAATGAATAAATTCTGTATTTGTTTTCCGACTGGTGGTGTTTTTAGCTTTCCCAGTTAATTTTTTCTTTCTGACACGAACTCAGTCCACACCGGGGTTGATAAGACCGATATCTTCTCTCTACCGAAATAGGCTATTCCCAAAATCAGGTAACTTTTTGATTTCTATTGTTTAATAATTATTTGCTCTGTAATATTAAAAACACTGAGCTCTTTTTGTGGATCTGTTTTAATGTTTTAATGTTTTATATTACTAGGATCCACCTCGATTATATACCAACGGATTTGTTACCTTTACTATATATATATATATATATATATATATATATATACACATCCTTCTTCCTTTAACATTTCAATGGACTGAGCGTGTTGACGTTGTTATGACTACACATGTGCGTATTGTTGATTGGTCAATGTATGGCTATTTTAGAGGGTGTGACGGACAAGACAGACGAACGGATATACTGATTAGCGGAAGTCACAGAATAGATTATGTGTTGGAGGGTGTCGTTTAACTTAGTCTATACTGTGAAGGATCCAATTAAAACCAAAATGGCGGTTCCCACGAGAAACCGCCACTGACGTCTTTATAAATATTTGTTTCCATTTCCTATTTCTTTTCAAAAACTGGCCAGTACGGCCAAGAAATAACGTTATAAAAATGCGGCAGTGAAAGTGTTAACTGCAGAAATTAAGAACACTTTGAAAGCATTTTATTTATTTATTTTTTTTTTAATTCACTCCAAGCAAGGCGAAAATGCGATTAAAATTTAAACGGCTACTTGGAGTGAAATAAAATTTGAAGACTTTAGAAGGAATTGAAAACCCAGTTCTAAACAGGAAACAAGGGATAAAACTCTACTCCCGTACAAAAGACTGGGGAGGAGTGTAAACCGGGCGATAGACGAATTTGCTGAAACGTTATGTGAAAGAGATTATCCAAGGAATCCGAAGCAATATAGAGAATACCGAGGAAGTTTCAACTTGTTCACTGTTGCTGAAAGCGAAATCTAACAAAAAAAAAAACAAAAAAAAAAAAACAAAAACAAAAAATGGTTCAGTGGTTAAAAGCATTGATTGGATCCAGTGACATGATCCAAAGAGTTGTGAGTTCAATACCTGGCAACTGCAGTGGTGACCAAAAAACTTGGAGAGTTGAGTTACAGTGAGATAACCGTAACATCCGGAAGAACCATGGCACGTGGAACGAGAGCAATCTACCCCGGTGGACGAAATAAACGGTTCAGTTCGAAATTCTAATCACCTAAAGAAAGCCGGAGCGTACAACGGCCGAAACTTCATGAATATGGCAATAAAGATGAGGACAACAGTCCGAACAATGTAAATAATGTAAATAATTACAATACCTCATTTCAGAAATATAGACAGATATCAATGTTGTTATTTATATATTGAATTTTATTTTAAATTATTTTCTGTCTATCTCTGTTCATGGATATCTATCTATCTGTCTATCCTTCTACCTATCCTCCTATCTATCACTGTTCATGTCTATCTATGTTCATATCTATCTATCTATCTATCTATCTATCTATCTATCTATCTATCTATCTATCTCACTGTTCATGTATGTCTATCTATTTATGTATCCTTCTACCTATCCTCCTATCTATCACTGTTCATGTATATCTATCTATCTATCTATCTATCTATCTATCTATCTATCTATCTATCTATCTCATTCCGTTATCTATCTATCTATCTATCTATCTATCTATCTATCTCACTGTTCATGTATGTCTATCTATTTATGTATCCTTCTACCTATCCTCCCATCTATCACTGTTCATGTATATCTATCTATCTATCTATCTATCTATCTATCTATCTATCTATCTATGTTCATATCTATCTATCTATCTATCTATCTATCTATATCTATCTATCTATCTATCTATCTATATCACTGTTCATGGATGTATATCAGGATAAATGAAATAAAGGTTTCAGTTCGAAATTGTGTAAGTCTAATAGTGTAAGGAGTTACAATACCTCATCTCAGAAATATAGGCAGAACCTGAAGAAGACCAGAGCATACAACGGCCGAAACATCGTCAACTTGACAATAAAGATAAGGACAACAGTCTGAATGATGTAAATAAGAAAAATAAATATGTCCTCTTGGCCTCAACCTATGACGATATTATTCTGTCTATATACTGAGATTATCTATGTTTACGGACTTCCATTTTGAAATCTCGATACCGAAGTTAAGCAATGTCGAGGCTGGTCAGTACCTACCTAGATGGATGATCGCTTGGCCATGCCTGGTGATGCAGGCTTGGATGTGCGGCTGGTGTAAGTGATAACGGCTTGGAACTGGAATTCGGAGAGCTTAGTTCACGTTCCAGGTCCATTCGAGATTCCTTATATCCAAAGACCCTTACGAGAGGGATGTGACTCCATCTTTTCTCTCTCAGCAAATTAGTACGCCATTTATCAGTAAATCGTTATTATCTGAAAAAAATTCTTACGATCTAAAAAATATTTGCTGGCTTCGAATAACCTCCAAAGGGTTGATAGGCCGTAAAAAACAAATTAATTAATTAATCGAAATTTCAAGACGCTTAACTTAATCATTCCATATGGTAGGTCAAAATTTATTTTTCACACATAAACTCTCTTTTGATTCTCTTTCGATCTTTACACAAAAGCTCCAGTTATAAAAGGGGAGGTACGACATGACCAACAGATAATAATATAATTGTGACTAGCTAAATCTAATTATAAGACATATTAACAACAACCTTTTCCCCACCCACCCCTTTTGGCCTTGTGCCACATTTTTGTATTTTACAAACTAAATATTACTTTCCATATACCCCCGTTGTTCATATCGAGCTCCTAGACAAAATCCAAAGATGGATATGCAATGTGATCGGTCATGATCTGGCATCTCGTCTACAGTCACTTTCTCACAGATGTGCTGTGGCTTCCCTCTGTGTTTTCTACAAATATTTTCATGGCAACTGCTTTGACAAGCTACTTTCACTGATACCCAGACTGCATGAATATAAGCGTGCTACTAGGTTGGCATTTCGGTCCCACCCTTTCACTGTCAAAATGATTAAATGTAACCGTCTCTTCTACACCAACAGCTTCTTCTCTCGCACTTCCCGACTGTGAAACTCCCTTCTTCTTCCTACTTGCTTGCCTGATAACTATAATCTTCAAATATTCAAATGTAATGTCAATCGACATCTTCTGATGCCTTGATC